TGTTATAGAAAGCCTGCTTAGTGGGAGGTGTGGTGGTATTTTTAGAGGACATAAGAAAATGAAATTATTGCCACCCAGGGCAGACCTCTCCTCACCACCTTCCCCTTCCATGTTTTTTAAAAATATATATTTTATTGATTATGCTATTACAGTTGTCCCATTTTTCCTCCTTATCCCCCTCTGCCCTGTACCCACTCATTCATCTTATTTAGTACAGTACACTGTTGCACAGCTTTACCTCCTCTTTTTCTGAGCTGGCAGCCGTTCATGTGCCTGAAGAAACTGTCCTGTGCAGTGAGGTCTGTTGTTCTTAACCTTGAATGAAGAGTACCTGTGAATTTTTACCAAAAGTCCCAAAAGATATTCATTTATTATTTATTGAGCATTTTTGGTAATGCTTAGAATTTTATATGATAATATTAGGAACAGGAAAAAAAAAAAGACTTCTTAGAACTTCCAGGCTAGTTGAAAGGAAATACTTTGCTGAACTTATTAGATCACCTAAGAGACCATGATGTTTAAAATTACTTCTCCATTGTGTTCTTCCAAAGAGAGGGCCTTTCATACAGCACATAAAATGTAAATGTGGCAACATAAATAAAACAATATCAGTATATTTTATTATACATATTTGTATATAAAGATATGTATCTAAGCTCTCACTATGTGTTAGATTCTGTTAAATAATTAATCTTCACAGCAGCTCTGCTTATACCTATTTTATAGATGGAAAGCTATAGATGGAAAGCCACAGAGGTTAAATAACTTCAGACAGGTAGTGATGAGGTAAGGACTAAAACCCTGTCTGACTCCATGTCTTCACTTAGTCAGACTGATGAGGACTCACTGTGAGCTAGACCACATTCTACGAGCTGAGGTGACTCTAGCTGTCAGGAATTCGACAAGTTAGGGGCTCATCAAGGAAAAAGATATGGCCATGAGGTGGCAACAGCTATTGAATGCCTGGCACGCACCTAGCATTCAATAAATGATAGCCATTACTAGTGCTGCTCTTAGTAATGGCAAAGATAAGTCGATGCTGCATATCTTTTTAAGAGTACAGTCATGTCAAGCATGGAGTGTGTTTCTTCTTAATTAATCTCAAAATTTGAATTAATGATGGAATTATGTTACAAAGTCAGTATCTTTATAGAATTAAAAAAAAACATGAAGAATGAGAGACTGGGAGTCTCCTTCAAGACCTATTAATCCAGCTTTCATTTCACAAATAAGGAAACAAGCCTGCTGATGGAGCTGCTTTTCCCAAGGTCATCCAGCTAGTTAGTGGCAGAAATAGTATTAGACATCAGTGTTCCTGACTCCTATTACTTTAAAGGGTGACTCGGTAATAATTCTTTTTAGTGAACCTAGAAACCTCTGACTTTTAGGTCTAAATTACTATTACTATTAGGTCCTTATTAGGTCCACATCATTGTAATAATTCATGTTGCAGCCTCTGATTCTATAGTGACTCTCATGAGAGGGTCAACTGAAATGGCTGGTGGGTAACTAGAATGCCCATCAGAACTGAGTTAGTGTAGTGGTAAAACCTTGGGGCCAGTAGCCAGAGTACCTAGGGCCAGGCATAAAACCTAGCAATCCTGAACAAATTATTTAATTTCTGCTTCTTCAGATACTAGGAGGTACTAGTATCTGCCTTACCTCTATCTCAGGGTAATTATAAATTGCAAAACGTGAGATGTTATTGAGGCACTTTAAAATATAAGGAATAATTACACAAAGGCCAACATTGTCATTGTTTAGCAGAATAAAAGTTCCTTTTAACTGTTGATTTCAGTATGCTATTGTTTTGGAGTCATTCCTTTTTTTAGAAGAATCCAATTTCCTGTTTTGGGTCATTGACTTTGTCAACGGTAACTACTATGGAAGATAGCAATTAAGCTCAATTATATAGTGCTGCTATAACTGTGGAGCTATAATAGCGGAGTTCAGTGGAAATTAAAGCATACACAGTAACTGACATCATATGAGTTCATTATATTTTTTTTCATTACCCCATAAATCTCTTTTATGTTATTTATAGCTTTCTACTCATGTAGACACCAGCAGCAAACTAGGGAATATTTGTGGTAGCAAGCTATAAGAACAACCCTCCAGCATCATCTCAGACCCTGTTGCATTTCTTTTGCACAAAACTTGAAATTATATAGTATATGTTACAGAAAGAATTTTTTCTTTCTGTTCAAAATATTTCATGATAAAAAGTAAAATAGGTTCAGGCCAAGATGGAGGTAGAGGTAGAAACACTCCACTTCCTTGCACAACCAAAAGAAGGAAAACTACCAAGTTAAAAACAATAAACAGCCCTGGCTGGTGTGGCTCAGTAGATTGAGCACCAGCCTACGAACCAAAGGGTTGATGGTTCAGTTCCCCATCAGGGCACATGCCTGGGTTGCAGGCCAAGTCCCCAGTAGGAGGCGCACGAGGGCAACCATACATTGATGTTTCTTTCCTTCTTTCCCCTCCCCTTCCCCTCTCTCTGAAAATAAATAAATAAAGAATTAAAAAAAAAACAACCAATAACCAGAAGGGCCAGACAATCAGACTGCATGGAACTCTGACAACCAAGGAGTTAAAGAAACATTCACACAGACCTGTAGGAGGGGCAGAGACTGACAGCTGATCAGAGAGGATGCACAGCAAGGTGGCAGACTGTGCGAGCAAGGTGGGGCTGGTTGAACAGTAAACTAAAGACTCAGAACTTCCATCTGTAAAATACTGAGGGGGATGCAACAGTGGGAGAAACTCCCAGTCTCACAGGAGAGTTCATTGGAAAGTGGGGCTAGAGCAAAGCGAGGCAGTGGCATTGTTCCCTTTCTGACCCCTCCCCCACAGTGCCACAACACAGCAAAGAGGGTTGCTGGCCCTGGTGAATACCTAAGGCTCCACCCCCTTACAGCATAGCAGGTATGCAGAGACAAAGGAATATGGCCCAAATGAAAGAACAGATCAAAACTCCAGAAAAAGAGCTAAATGAGGAGATAGACAATGTATCTGATGCAGAGTTCAAACACTGTAAATCAGGATGCTCACAGAACTGATTGAGCTCAGTTGCAAACTGAAGGAGGAAATGAAGATTACCCAAAGTGAAATAAAGCAAAATATACAGAGAACCAACAGTGAAGGGAAGGAAACCGGGACTTAAAACAATGATTTGGAAAAAAAGGAAGAAATAATCATCCAGTGGAACAGAATGAAGAAACAAGAGTTCAGAAAAATCAGGAGAGGCTTAGGAACCTATGGGACAACTTTAAGTGCTCTAACATCCAAATTCTAGGTGTGTCAGAAGGAGAACAAGGAGACCAAGAAATAGAAAACTTACTTGAACAAATAATGAAGGAAAACTTCCCCAATCTGGTGAAGGAAATAGATGTGTAGAAAGTCCAGGAAGCTCAGAGAGTCCCAAAGCAATTGGACCCAGGGAGGAACACACTAAGGCACATCATCATTAAGTTACCCAAGATTAAAGATGAAGAGAGAATCTTAAAAGCAGCAAGAGGAGAGAGTTACCTACAAAGGAGTTCCCTTAAGACTATCACCTGATTTCTCAAAAGAAACCTTGCAAGTGAGAAGGGGCTGGAAAGCAGTATTCGAAATCATGAAAGGCAAGTACTTACATCCAAGATGACTCTATCCAGCAAAGCTTCATTTAGAATGGAAGGGCAGATGAAGAGCTTCCCAGGTAAGGTCAAGTTAAAGGAGTTCATCATCATTAAACCCTTATATGAAATGTTAAAGGAACTTATCTAAGAAATAGAAGAAGATAAAAAACTATGAACAGTAAAATGACAAACTCATAACTATCAACAACTGAAGCTATAAAACAAAAACTAAGCAAACAACTAGAACAGGAACAGAACTAGAGAAATGGAGATCACATGGAGTGCTATCAGTGGGGGAGGTGGGAAGTACAGGGAAAAGAAGCATAACTGGTAGGCATAAAATAGATGAAGGCAGGTTAAGAACAGTACAGGAAACAGAAGCCGAAGAACTTACATGTACAACTCATGGATGTGAACTAAGGTCAGGGTGTGGGACATGGTGGAGGGTAGAGGCATTCAGGGCAGAGGGGGGATAAGGGGAAGAAAAAAATTGGAATAACTAATAGAATAATAAAATATACTTAAAAAATAAAATAATAATAAAGTTAACCAGAATTATCAGAGTGGGGGGAACAACTCTAATTAGAATAAAAATGCTACTATCTGGAGAAACCTGATAGTAATGCTTGTCCTGGTGATGTCCAGGTAGAGATAAGATGCGCTGAGCTCTGGTATCAGAGAAGAAAAGTTCCTGGGACACAGAAGTAGAATGCCTTGCTTGTACAAGACAGTTGCCCCTTGGACCCAGAGCCCTCAGCAAATACTACTAAGGGATTATTTGAGTGCCAGCTTGATAGTCAAGGACATTCATTTGGGATAGAATGACTAATGCAGATCACCTGGGGGTGAAAACCTAAATACAGTAATTGAGCACCTCTATGTGTCATATACTTGTTTAGGAGGGGGTGTGTGTATGTGTATTCCAAATCAGGGGAAGAATAAACTTTTGTTGGGATTCTGGATTTTCCGTTCAGAAAACCCATAGCTAGATCCCTACCTTTCATTATACCCAAAAAAAAAACCCCCCAAAAAAAACTGAATGAATGAAAAGGCTAAATATAAAATTAACAGACAAGAACTTTTTTCAAAATTTCTGGAATTGGAAATAAGTTATAAAGTGATAAGTTTGACTACATAAAATATTGAAATGTCATAGGACAAAAAAACACCAAGTTACAACAAAGTTGATAAGCACTTAATTGGATGGAAATATTTGCTACCTAAATGTCAAAGGAGCAGAGACCTCAAAGGCAGACACCCTTAATGCCCACTGTTGTGATGGGGAAATACACATTCCCCTGACTTTGCATTTGGCAACTAGTTCAGGAGGAGAGCTATCTCATGCTCCATAACTCCTTTGTCTCATTTACTTTTCAGGATGTTTACAAGCCCCGTCGAAAATACAAACGCCAACAGGGAGCAGAGGAGCTGCTCGATGAAGAATCTCGAGTCCATGCTACACTTTTGGAATATGGCAGGTATGAATGGGATCCAGTCTACAGTGTCTCCAATCTTATAAAGCAATTGGAAAGAAAAACTATTCTGAATTTCTTCATTGGGATTAACTTGGTTGGCTTTTTACCTGATTGAGTTTACTATTTTGGACCTAAGATTTCCAGCACCTGGAACTTTTCTCTCTGGTATTGAATCACGCAAGTTTCTGAGGTTAGCTTCCTGATGGCAGTAGAGTCCTGATCTTTGGAACTTCTCTCTAAAAATCTGTGTAACTGTGCCTTGGCTCTGTTCTCCTTGGGGGTTGGGAGTTTGGGGCATTTGTGGAGGCTGGGGGTGGTCTGCCCTTCATGTCCCTGCCTTTTGATAAAATCTCCAAGTAAACTAAAGAGTTTTCAACAGTTTAAGTATTAGAATAATAGTTTTGGTTTCCTTTGAACAATTGCCCTAACTAGGAAAATGAAAAATTTAGAAGTAGTTTTGTCACTTCTTAAAAAAATCTCTAAAGTAAAAAAAAAATTCTTACTTTATAACCTCAGTTTTTACTTAAAACACAGCACATAAGGAAGTACTTCCTCTCACTGAAGTTTTTGGTTGACAGTGGATATTAACCTTCATTTATGTCCCGTGTTTTCTACTTAGGGTAACTGATTCCTTGATGTGAGTATGTCTCCTTGGTCTTCTTTCCTTTATATTGGGAGTGGTTGCTGTGTGCTGCTCTGCCTCATAACCCAGCCCTCATTGGGTGTCTGGAACTAACAGCACTGCCACTAACATCTCCCTGAGTGAGCATCTGATGGTTTCCACCTCTATGAATAGGAAGTAAGAGAGAATCAGGATAGTAGCCTTAATTGGCTGAAGTACTCCATTTTTCAAATGGAATTATTACTATTTTTTGTGTGTATTTTTGAGGGGCCTGTGTGGGGTCAGGTCCTTCCTCCCTAAGAATGGAAACTAGTCTGTTTCAAAGGAAGTTGTTAGTCCTGACCCTGAGCCATATTTGATGGCTACCCTCGCAGCTCACCAGTTGTTGCTGTGAATTGAACTCATCTGAGTAAGGCATCGTCAGACCAACTACATAATTTGTATGACCTAGTATAAAATGTAAATGCAGGGCCCTTTGTTAAGAATTATTAAAATGATTAATTATTAAGAATTTCAAGACAGCAAAACAGCCAAATGTGGGGCACTTCTGAGTGTGGAGCCTTTTGCACCTGGATAGGTCACGTGCCCTGGGCACTGTGGTGGGGTCTTTCCAGCTAAACCCCAGCTGCAGCTGGGCAGGTGAAACTGCACTCCTCTGGGAGAGCCAGTGCTGGGGAGAAAGCTTATTTGTGTCGGCATGTTCCAGGGCCAAAGTGTACTTAAGGGACATTGTGGCTTTTGTTAGTTTGTATTGTTCATACTTCCAGTTTTGCCATTATCATGCAAACTCCCAATGTTCCTGGTGCTGAAAAGGAATCAGAGATTCAGTAAATTGTCTACCTCATGAATACCATGCTACGAATTTCAATATTTTGTTTTGTTTTGAAATAATCAGTTTCACATTGGATCTTTTGCATGTGTCATGAATGATAGTTGTCACCATATGAAGTCTGGGTAAATTCAGGACATTCCTGCCCATCTTCAGGAGTGATTGGAGCACTCTGAGGTCAGAGTCTGGCTTGAGTTTCTTTAGGGAAACGAGCAAGACACTGGTTTTGTTTTAGACTCCTCGTAAATTTGGAGGGTAAGAAAGAGCAACATGTCTCAATTCCAGTCTTAGTTCCTGTTGGTGGAGTCATGCTGACTTCTAAGCCTAGGTAGGTAGGATGAAGGATTTGTTTTCTTTTTTAGGAGAGAGATTATTTTGCTTTCTTTTCAGCTTTGCTGTTAAGGAATGGTGAGGTTTTGAGAAGTGGAGAGATAAATACATATTAATTCTTATATTTTATTTAGTTCATTTCCCTTTTTGAGAATACTAAAGACTGCATTCAAAAAAGGGTAAGAATTAACCTTTTTTTGGTGCCTGAGGTCAACTATTAACTATTAAGAACTATTAAGAGCCTCAGACTAGGACTTGAAGTCAGGTTTCTTAGACTCCAAAAGTATGGCATGATCATTATCTATAAACATTGTTTGAGCCTCCAGTGAGAGTTTGGTTCTTGGTTTTAGAAAGACAGGCCCAGTCTTTGTTTGGTCTGAGACTGAATAAGAAGAGAGTTGTTATTAAACTTATAGAACAAACTGGATGAAACATAAAGCCCCGACAAGTGTGCATTTTATTCCCTGTTCTGGGGAAGGCCCCTTGCCTCCTTTCTATTAGACTCTTTCCTCACAGTTTATTCAGTACTCTCCGCCTCATGGAGATCCTTACCATTAATTAAATGAAGATCACATAACCATGTGAAGGACTTGAAACAGTTTGTCCTTTTGTAGAAAACATTAAATGTTAACTATTAGGTCCTAAGGTCACAGCAGCAGCAACAGCAGTTTTCAGTTCTAAAATACCTTAAATATGACCTTTACTTTCAAATAAGGATCCTTTCCTAAACCTCCCTTTCAGTCATGTTTGTCCCTATATACTCATTACTTCTAGGACTAGCCCTCTCTCTAACCCTGTTACGGGAAGTTTTACCCACTCTTCCTTCCCTGTCAGGCAGGCTGGCCCTTTGCTGGCACTGGGACTCACTGCTCCATCCTGCCTTTCCCCTTATTGTTGTGCACACCTTAGTTGCTCATCCCCACCTAGGAATACAAATCCCCATCATTCATCAGTGTTCCTTTTGTCAGCCTAGGCCCACAATGTACCTGGCTTTGAGGTCAGCATTACAGCTTCTTCTTCCTGTTCTGACTTTTCCTTGCTCAAATAAGGCTAGACTGTGAGCCTGGTCAACCATGCTGAAGGCTTTAAGGATTATGTGTCTATTAAAAACATGTTCGACTATATTTGTTTAAATGTTATGGTGTCAGAAAAACAAGACTAATAGTTTTTATTTTAGACTTAAACAAAATTGCAGCTGTATAATATTTTAATTTTATTATGGCCCCAATCAACTTTTAGTAGCTAAAAACCTAACTACAAAATAAAATGGCCATTATGGGGGAATGCATTTTATGACGTGGATCCCAGCTCCTGGGGTCTGTGACATTATGGATGAGACAAAACAAATTCACACGGACTACCGAGTCCTGTGGAGGAAGAGGGATGGCGAGGCTTCTCTCTCAAGAGGAGAAAAAGCCTCGTAGCACCTTGGCCACCCTCTCAAGAGGAAAACACCTCGACCCTTGCCTTTACAAGCTTTTATTGGGTTCTGAATATTAACTTTGTGTCCTGCTACTTTGCCAAATTTACTTATTAGGTCAAGTAGTTTTTTCATGGAGACTACAGTTTTCTGTGTACACTATCATGTGATCTGCAAATAATGACAGTTTTACTTCCTCCTTCCCAATTTAGATGCCTTTTATTTCCTTTTCTTGTCTGATTGCTGTGGCTAGAACTACTAGTACTATGTTGAGTAAGAGTAGTGAAAGCTGATACCCTTGTCTTGTTCCTGATCATATGGGAAAAGTTATTAATTTTTGTCCATTGGCAGTAGATTTCTCATATGTGGTCTTTATTATGTTGAGGTATGCTCCTGCTAGTCCCACTTTGCTGAGTGTTTTTATCTAAATGGGTGCTGGGTTTTATCAAATGTTTTTTCAGCATCTATTGATATGATCATTTGGTTTTTGTCCTTCATTTTATGTGGTGCATCACAATTAATTGATTTGTGAATATTGTACCATCCTTGCATCCCTCAGATAAATCCCACTTGATCATGGTGTATGATCTTTTTAATGTATTGCTGGATCAGATTACCAGTATTTTGTTGAGGATTTTAGCATCTATGTTCATCAGAGATATTGGCCTATAATTTTCTTTCTTTGTTGTGTCTTTACCTGGTTTTAGAATTGGAATAATACTGGCCTCATAAAAAAAGTTTGGGAGTTTTCCCTCTTCTTGAATTTTTTTGGAGTAGTTTAAGAATAGGAATTAGTTTTTCTTTGAATGTTTGGTAAAATTTGCCCATGAAGCCATATGGTCCAAGCTTGTGTGTGCTGGTAGTTTTTTGATTACTACTTCAATTTCAGTAGTTACTAGTATATTCAGGATTTCTGCTTCTTGATTCAGTTTTGGAGGATTGTGTTTCCAGAAATTTGTCCATTTTTCCTGGGTTGTCCAATTTCTTGGCATATAATTGTTCATAGTCATTTCTTACAAGCCTTTGTATTTCCGTAGTATTGGTTGTTACTTCTCCTTTTTAGTTTCTGATTTTATTCGAGTCCTCTATCTTTCTTTCTTGATGAGTCTGGTTAAAGGTTCATCACTTTTCTTTATCTTTTCAAAGAACCAGCTTCTGGATTTATTGATCCTTTGAATTGTTCTTTTAGTCTCTATGTCATTTAAATCTGCTCTGATCTTGATTATTTCTTTCCTTTTCCTCTCTCTGGGATTTGTTTGTTGTTCCTCTAGTTCTTTTAGAGGTAGGGGTGGGTTGTTTGAGACTTTTCTGTCTTCTGTAGGTAGGCCTATATTGCTATGCATTTCCCTCTCAGGACTACCTTCACTGTATCATGTAAGTTTTGGGTTGTTGTTTGTTCATTTTCATTTGTTTCCAGTACTTTTTGATCTTTTCCTTGATCTCATTGTTACCCATTCATTATTTAATAACATGTTATTCAGTCTCCATGTATTTGAATGTTTTTGAGTTTTTTCCATGAGGTTGGTTTTTAGCTTTAAGCCATTGTGATCTGAGAAAGTGCTTGATGTGATTTCAATTTTCTTGACTTCGTTGAGGCTTGTTTTGTGCCCTACCACGTGGTCTATGAAAATATCCCTTGTGCATTTGAAAAGAATGTATATTTTGCTGCTTTGGGGAGAAATGCTCTTTAAATATCTATTAAGTGCATTTGTTCTAGAGTGTTGTTCAATGCCACACTATCCTTGTTGATTTTTGTTTGGGTGGTCTATCCATTGTTGACAGTGAAATGTTAAAATCCCCAATGATGACTGTATTGCTGTCGATCTCCTTTTTAAAGTCCTCCAGGATTTTCCTTATGTATTTATGTGCTTCTATATACATATAGAGGGTACATATAAGTTTACAAGGATTATGTCCCCTTGTTGGACAACTCTCTTACGTATTATGTAGTGACCTTCTTTGTCTCTTGTTATGGCCTTTGTTTTGAAGTCTATTTTGTCTAAGTATTGCTACCCCATCTTTTTTTTTTATGTCCATTTGCTTGAAAAATTTTTTTCCATCCCATACCTTTCAACCTGTGTAGATCTTTTGTTCTGAAGTGGGTCTTTTGTAGGCAGCATATATGCAGATTGTGTTTTCTTATCCACTCAGCTATCCTGTGTCTTTTGATTAGTGCATTTTATCCATTCACACTTAAGGTGGTTATTGATGGGTATTTATTTATTGCTTTTTAAAAAAGATTTTGTTTATTTGTTTTTAGACAGAGGAAGAGAAGAGAGAGAAACATCAGTGTGTGGCTGCCTCTCACACACCCCTCACTGGGGACCTGGTCTGAAACCCAGGCATGTGCCCTGACTGGGAATCGAACCAGTGACTCTTTCGTTTGCAGGCCAGCGCTCAATCCACTAAGCCACGTCAGCCAGAGCTATTTATTAC